TAATACATGCCTATGTTTAAAATTTCAAAGGATTTCATCAAAAAACAAGAAAGATATTGAGACTTTAGTTTCAGCCAATCAGAGCGAAGCGCACGTGCATGCGCGTGAGATCTTACTTTTTTGACCATGTCATTTTGTTTATGCTTCTAATATATACTTATAATATGAGTTTCAAAGCATTTCATCAATAATTTAAATAGTTACGTCTGTATCAATTATATTGGACATTTCTCGTGTTGCACGTGCGAGATCTTGCAAGCACATGTGCATGCACATGCTTTCATGATAAATCTTATAATACAGGCTGTAGATCTCCCTAATATATGACTATGTTCAAAATTTCAAATGATTTTATCAAAAAACAAAAAAGATATTGAGACTTTAGTTTCAGCCAATCAGAGCGAAGCGCACGTGCATGCGCGTGCGATCTTGCTATTTTGACTATGTCATCTTGTGCTTACTACTAATTTATCCTTACATTATAAGTTTCAAAACATTTCGTCACAAAATAGAAAAGTTACGGTTATATCCATTTTATATTGGTCATTTTAAGTTTTGCACGTGCGCGCTCTTGCAAGCACGTGCGCGCAAAATGACCTTGATTCCGCAAATCTACATAACATGCCTACTTACCCTAAAAAGGTTTCACCTAAGTCGGATGTGTAGTTTACAAGATCACTCGCGGACAAAATTTTCCCAGGAAGAAAAATAAGAATAAGAACTAGATACGATCTCGTTGCGAGCAACGAGAGGTCTTCCGTCCGTTTTAGGAAAAGAAACCCACGTAAAATCGAGCTGAAAAGAGATTCAAAATTTTGGTCACAAGGAGGATTGAAACCATGTCGCCAACGTGAATGCGCTTTTTTTTTTTACTTTTATATACCCAACGCGCTAACCATTAAGCTATTGGGAGTATTGTTCTAAATATACTTGTGTATACCACGGTACTTTTGCAACAGTCTGTCGAAGAATTATAAAAAGCATTCATAATTTCGCGCCAAACGCCACGAGTAAATATTCGCGCCTTTTCTTTGGACTGATCTATTAGATAGGTATGATAGCATCAATTAAATTTTAAAAATAAAACATTCTTAGCGCCTTTATTTTATTTCGACGTTAAGAAAGTATATGTAACACATTATACACAATACATATCGTATCTAGCCCAGTTACACTAAAGCAGTGAAACGGAAATTAAGTTTTAAGATTGACTCAATTGCAACGTACTACTGTAACGTGTCGGATTTGAGCGGTCAGTAGGTCTGTCCTCGGATTACCGAGTTTTACTGGGGATATGATTGAATGCAATATATACAGATAATAATATGACACCTGCCAGGTGTCTTTAAATCAAATGACCTAAGTGCTTTGTATAATTATTTATCTTCAGTTAATACCGGCACCTGTCTGGTGCCAACTGATAATTGCCTCACTATACTCGTATAACTGACTATATAAGTCAACATCTATCTGCCTGGTGCCTCTTGATTTAGCCTTTAACACCTGCCTGGTGTATTACTGCTTACCAAGTTGCCTATATAACTCTAGCCAAGTGGCTACAATATACTTACACAGTATGATTTTACTTTGTAAGAGCTTCTCTGTCCTAATGACAAACCTATAGCTAACGTCACACAGCTACATTTTAACTAGTCACTAACTACAGCAACTTTGCACAATCCGATTTGATCGTTACACCAAATGGATTCTGTACCAAAGTGAAGACACAAGCCAGTTGGCTGTACTGCCCCCTTGTATCTCAACTTAATCAATGATCATAAGTTATCAGATATCATATTGATAAAATACAACAGACTGCCTTTCTTTTGGCAACACTATTATTATTTTCTAACAGAACATCATTTATCAATGATACTTGTATAATTCTTTTGTCAATTGACCAATTAATTACAATATTTTTATTGATTAGCTATTATAATATAAACAAGTAACGGGACGTAACTCCTCCAACCATTTCACTACTACGTGAGAGTCGAAGTAGTTTTTTACATTTCATGTATCCTTATGTCAGAATCGTTCAATCAAACGCTCAGCTGCCTCCATAAACCCCTACTCGCGAAATGGCGGAGTTGACAGAGGCAGCCGCCATCTTGGGCTCGCTTCAGATTTTCAAATATTAATATCTAGAGTTCAGATAACCCAATATCCAAACAACTTATATAGTAAACATCAATAGAATGGTCTCTATTAACATTCCAAAAATAAATGAATAATATTGAAAAACAAAAAAGTTAGAAAATACGCTTTTTTCAATTCTCATCTCCGAACGACAGGAAGTATAGACGACGAACGAAAGGTCGCGTCCTGGTTAGTATCTATCACAATCTATAATCCCTGAAAGTTTCACATTGATATCTTTTACCGTTCTTGAGATTAACCACAGACAAAATGTCATTTTAAAATCAGGAAATGTCCCGTAACTTGGCACCAGATAGGAATTTTCAAAAAATCGCTCAGATAGATCAAATTCATGTTACGACACATCTTTTCTGAAAATTTCATGTAATTCCATCCAGTAGTCTTCGAGAAATCGCGTGCACAAAATTTGGAAAAAAAATAATAAAAAGAATAATAATAATAATAATAATAATAAGAAACAGTAGAATCACTATAAGGTCTTCCGTGAAGACGGAAGACCTTAATAATAACTAGAGCAAAGCTCGTTGCAAAGCAACGAGTAGGTCTTCCGTCCGGTTTTGACCGGAAGTGCCGGAAGTGACGGAACAAAAGAAAGCATTGAGCTAAGTTGTCTCCAGTGACTTTATAATTTCAATTTTGCATCAAAACCTTCAAAATAAGCCATTTTTTGCTACTTCCGGTTTGACCGGAAGTGACGACGACGGACGGAAAAACTACTTTTTATGCTCCCAGAGACATATGACACCCAAAAACTTGTCAAGAACGGCAGAAAAACGTGTTTTCGACCACTTCCGGTTTGGCCGGAAGTGACGACGCCGGACGTATTTTGACGACTCTAATAGATTAGGCTTGACATTTTGAACAACTTTGCTTCTTTGACGAATTACAAATTCTAAATACTTTTTGAGATATATAGGAAAAACATTCGGACCCTCTCGGCCCCTAATTTAAAGGGCCAGCCCTTTTTTCGAGGTCTCATTTGAAAGATCTTGGAATTCTATACTTTTTTTGTTCTACATGTTTTAACAAAATATTTCTAGGTAAAAAGTAATCGTAGAAAAGGTGTTAAAAATTTTGAAATTCTTGATAGGACTATTTTCTGGCCATAGCGAGCGTCGGCACTTCGTACTTCCGGTGGTTGTGATATATGAAATTCACTTCTCCAAAGGTTGCTCTAGCATCACTGAAAATTTCATGCTTCTGTGTTGAGTGGTTTTTCAGAAAACTGCCGGACAAAGTGACCCTCTGAAAATCACTAAAACGCGAAAATCTCAAAACCGGAAGTGACGTCATTAAAACAAAAAAATATATATCTAGATTTTTTCATGCTCTATCAGTCCTGAAAGTTTCATGAAAATCGAGCGAGCCGTTTTCGAGAACTCGCGTGCACAAAATCGGTAAGAAAAAAAACAATAATAATAATAATAATAAAAATAGTGGAAAAGAAACCTAAGAATAACAGTAAGGTCTTCCGCTGAAGACGGAAGACCTTAATAATAAGAAACAGAGTAAAAACAATATGTTCCCCAACTTCGTTTGGGGAACATAATTAATGAGTTTGGTGTGGGAAGTTGAAGTTAAGGCATCTTATTATCAACCATGTGTAATCTCCTGGGAATCAGGCACAAGAATTAAAGATCTCTCTTCTCTTATTCTCTTAATTGTAATTTATTGTCTGTCAAAGCACTTCATTACTGGATGACCAGCTCTTTATTTTCAATTGAATTTGATATAAAGTTATCAAGATTAATTTGATTTTGTATAATATGATTTTTTTTCAACAATCAGTTTGCAGAGTGACATAACACATAATTGCAATATATTTTTTTAATGCAGAAATAACAAAATTAAATAAAAAAAATAATGTTACAATGGAATTACAATGTATTAAATTTTTGTAAGTAAATTGCGAACACCTCTAGATCCATAAAGTATTTTTGAATTGGCACCTTCTCTGAAAAACCCAGCGGGGGGTATTTGTCCCTATTGGACAGTTCTTTTTAAACTAAATATTTGGGTTGAGACTCCATGATTTGAAATTTTTGCTTCTAAAATTCTTACTACATGAGTAGAAAAACACTCATTTACAAATTAGAAATCAGTTTGTTGTTCGTTTTTTATACAAAAACATTGCAGCTGTGGTTCATATTAACTCTATAAGAATGGGTAAATCCTACTCTGAGAAAGAAAGAGGAGGAAAATTGCCTCAGGTGTGATATTTCCCCTCAGGAGGAAATCCTACTCTAGAGGGGGTACTCTTTCTGGGGGGAAAGCTGGCTATGGGGGAAATCCTACTCTACAACACCGGTAAATAAAAATTTATAAGCCCTGTACTAGTGCTAGTGTTGAATCAATTGCCAGCTGTGCTTCTCTAATAAAGTATTAATATTTCTTTATTGATTAATGTTCACCATCCCTTAATGGTTCTCTAAAAATCAGCAATAAAATCAAACTATGCTAAAAAAAAATTTGGGTGAATTGTTCAATGTTTTTTTCCCTCAAACCTTGGATTTTTTTTAATACAATGTTTACATATACAGGTATTTTATAATGAAGTTGACTTGACTTTATATTTACAAGATTTCGTTTGTATTAGTGTGATTTAAACTATGAATTTTATCACTGCGTGAAGACAAAAAGAACCCGACTTATAGATTATTTAACTTTCAAAATCCCTTTACATTCATTTTATGGTTTTACTATTTGTGGGTATACTTAAATGATCTTAGGTGATGTATTTTTAATTTAAAAATCATTATGACTTTATGTTCATTAATTAATTTTGATGAAAGTAAAATATATCAACATGCAAACATTAAACCATTTGTAATTCCTTACAGTTGATTGGTGGAGCAATATTTGGTTTTTCTCTCTGGCTGTTGGTGGATTTCTTTGTGAACGAGTACCAGGCTGCATCAGACGACCTTAAACAGTCCAAGTATGTCATCTACGTGTTTGTTGCAGCAGGGGGATTCATGGTGGTCTACAGCCTCATCGGAATCATCGGAGCCATTAAACCAAATTGGAAGTGTCTCCTCATCATTGTAAGATCTGTTTCAGCAAGACATTCATTATATTGGTCATAGTCAAAAATATCTAAATAAATTTAAATCACTATCAAAAACCAAATTTTGATTTACCATTTGTAAAATTTGACCATTTACTATTTGTTTACTGACCACGGTAGCACTGTCAGTGACTTGGATGAGAAAGGGTAGTGGATAGTGCTGATAACTTTGTGTCAATTAAGTGTCACACACCAGTTAAAATATTAACTTTATTAAGGGATATCGTAGAACTGTTTTTAATTATTTATTGCTATAATATTTTTCTTTAATTGACAGTATCTGATTTGTCTGGTCCTTTCGATGCTGGTTCTCATTGGAGGGACTGTGTGGTGTTATGTTTACAGATATGAGGTAATGTTCATACTTTCTATCACTTTTTATTCACAGTAAACAACCTTTATTCTCTTTCAATTATGCAAGACCAACTGCTTTCAAAAATTTCATTGTAGGATATATTTGTATGTGTGAAATTGCTTTGCTACTTGTAATAAATGAGAAATGACCATTTTGCAAAAATAAGGTGTCATGAAAAATTGTTAATCCACAGTAGATTCTTTTTTGATAAACAAAAAAAGTTGAGTAATATTCAAGTTGACCTTGTGTAAATTATATAAACAATAGTCAAACTAATGATGTTACTTGAAACAAAGCGATTGATTGTTTTAAATATTGAAATATTTAATCATTAGAATTTCATGAAGGAAAAGAATCTGTATTTTAGGGTTATATTTGATTAAAAGCAACATGCAATATAAAGTGTTGTTTTTTTTTCTTCAAGATTGAGATAAAGCTGAAGAATACCTTTGTGACGATTGTTCCCAATAACTATGGAAAGAACACTGTGGTGACTCGGGCCCTTGACTTTATGCAGAGTGAGGTATGACTTAACTATAAACAAAGTTTTGGAGCTGTAATTAAGTTGATTTTCCTCAGTTATTCATGGAGGACTATGGATATTGACATGTGTAGCCCAGTGGGTAGAGCACCTAACGTGGTACAGATGTCCCATTTTCAATTCCCTGTCAAGCACAGTACATTTTCTAAATATTTTTTAAATAATTTGGTATTGTTGATCACCCCTGGACTTCCAGATGAAAGTCCTGTCAGGGCAAAATAGGAATGAGATGGTGGGCCTTATATCTTGGCCTTGATAGCTCAGTTGGTAGAGCACTTGACTAGGGGGCCTGGGTTCGATCCTTTATTCATTCGTACATACTTCTCCTTTCCTGTTACACATATATCAGGCAGTACTGGTCTAAGACAGATTACAGTATATAATTTGATTCCCAAAGAATTTCTAGCAAAATTCAATTAATTCCTAACCTGTGTAGCAGTCCAGAATAATGAAGTTATGTTTAGGAACTTGGCAGATGAAATTGGTCATATCTAAGGCCACACCAATAAGAAATTTTGTTCGTCGGACCTGCACGCTTGTATTTAAACAAATCTATACAAATAATATTGATTGAAATTTCCTGCTCCATGGGAATTCAGTGCTATTTTCTGTTCCATTTTTGCTCTATTTATTGTATTTTTAATCTGCTTACTTTGCAAATCAGAAAAAATTTAATTGTCCGCTCAATTTTTTTCATGCTCCACCCAAACATTTTGTCAACAAAAAAGTAATAATATTATTTTTCAACCGCTTACCCACTCTTACTTTTTTCATCAAATGTCCGACGAACAAGAAATTAAATTGATGTGGCCTAAATCATGATACAAGTACTGTGGTTAAGTATGCTCATCATATGTTACACTTTTTATGCGTCGGGAATGATAGATCCAGGGTGTATATTGTTTTTGTCCTGTCTGTCTGTTTGTCTGTTGTCAACTTTAACCTTCACCATAACTTTTGAATTGTGAGAGACAGAGACTTCATATTTGGTATGCATAATCCACTAATTAAGCTCTTTCAAATGCTTTGTGACTTTGACTGTGACATATATTAAAAAAGTTCTTTTCATTGGAGATAGAAATTTCATATTTGGACATCAAGCTAAATGACAGCAAGGTCAATGACCTTATGACCTTGACTGTGACATATATGCCAAAAATAGCTTTTTCAAACTTTTCCCATAACTTTTGAACCATTGGAGATAGAAATTTCATATTTGGTATACATACTCCACTAATTAAGTTCTTTCAAATGACAGCAAGGTCAATGACCTTATGACCTTGACTGTGACATATATGCCAAAAATAGCTTTTTCAAACTTTGTTGCCAGGCGCAGTTTTTCACAAACACATCTTGTTGAATACTGAAAATTACATTAACATATGTTTGAAACATTTTAAATTTTCTCGAGGTAGACAAACATTAGAGAAAAAACTTACCTGTGTAACAATTCCAAAATGTCCAAATAGATAAAACATCTTTCATTTATGTTTTGTCATTGATATTGACTGTTTATGTGTTGCAGCTTGAATGTTGTGGTGGACAAGGCTACACAGATTACAAGGGGTCTGACTGGAGTAACAACCTGCAGATTGGTGGCAACATAGGCTATACCCAGGACAATTACGCTCCTCTCAGCTGCTGCACTTACTACGACAGAAACAAAGAAACACAGGACACCTCTTATCAGGCCTGTCCCATCTGTCTGGATCAACTGTCTGGTCAAAATCCACTCATCTGTAGTAGTGTCAACCCTCAAATATGGAAAACAGTAAGTCCCCCTCTCCCAAAAATGTTATTTTTATTTTGAAAATTACATGTTTGGGAAAAAGTTAATTTCATTCAATGGATAAATTGTAGTATATCAGCATTAGAAATGTAAGAAAGACATATGTATTATCATAACAGTAACTTGATCTGAAGGGAAATATCACGTCAATTCGACAGGTGCGGATCATTGGATCAAACGAGAGGCAAAGCGTTGAGTTTGATCTGATGATCCACTCTTGTCGTCGATGCCCAAGAAAAATAACATCATATTTCTGTGTACTACATGATCAGTTTCAGAGAGTGGAGATATGGATTCAGAAAACCACAATGTAGTGATCCAGAAAGTCGGATCAGGGCGTCACATGATTATGTTAATTCAACAGTTAAATTAAGTGATACACAGTTGGATATGTAATAAAGTCTGTTATCTTTTTATTGTAGCCTTGCAATGAAGCAGTTGTCAAGTTCTTCAAGGACAACTTAGGGATTGCTGCAGGAGTGGCCATAGGTGTATTAGCTTGTCAGGTAATTATGTTTTCATTCTCTCTGTCCTTTTTTTCTGTTAATTCACTCTATGTAAACCTCCCTACATGTTTACTGAAATTACTTGAAAGAAATTCCATTTGTGGAATAGTTGACAGTTCATATACTGATAATTGTAAGAAACAATGCGTTTTGGATATGCATCAATGGAATAGTTTTTACAAATGATTAATTAATTAGAAAAATTGTCTTTTTGTGTAAAAAAGATGTTGGAATAAAAGAATATGAATTTTTACCAATTTTTAATGTTTAAGAGGTACTTATTAAATTTCTTCAGATCTGCCATTGCTTGTGAACTTTGTGGGTCACCCTCTCCCATGAATTTTACATTTACACAAACCTTAAACTTTTCAACATGGAGGTTGTTGAATCTTTTGTGAATATACAGTGTTATCCAAGAAATGTAGTCCTCATAATTCAGTAATTTAAGATTTTTGATTGCACACAAACATAGAACCTCCCTAGCTCCCCAATCTCTGAATTAAAATGATTCAAAAGTACTCTATGTGGCAATGCAAGCTTTTGTGTTTTATTTGCAGTTGTTTGGTGTTATTTTGGCTTCTGTGTTGCTTCACCTCTACAACAGCAGATACACACCATATGATGCAAATAACGATGATGTCGTGTACGAAATGGCCAGATGTCAAGAGAAATCCCCATATCCCACACGAGGGGCAGGACCCTATGCTAATCTGTACAATAACTAAATATAGAATGCTGCTGTCATATCATTAGAACCAGCCATCATCTCATAAAAATCATCAGCCTCAAACCAGAACATCACTTACATGTAAAGAGAAACCAGTGACCACACCATCTTCACTCCGGCTTCCATCAAACATTGCTGCATTGGCTTTAAAGCTAGCATTCCTGGATGTGAGATTTCATTTGAACACATTTAGAATAGTATTTAGATCAGCTTTTACAGGTATTGAGTCTTTTATAGACTCCTATTGACAAACCTCCACATTTTTACATGGGGGAATTTAAGGGTTGTAGATCTAAGGGTTGTACTTCATCATTTGTCTAAATATATTGTTAATAAATATTTTTCCTCTCGACCATTGCAGGTACATGTATTGGTTTCTTGATGAAAACTTTATTTAACTGTATATTTTGTACAATATCTACTTCATACTTTTTACTTAGGCTATGAAAGGTTTGATAAGCTAGTGTGTACATGTTAGGTAAAATAGAAAGGTCCTCATTAAAAATGTGGGGGTTTTTTATGCTCTACTGTTTGTGACTTTTGAAACTTTTAAAAATGGAAAAATTCATTTTTTAGTACATGTATATGTATGTTGAATATGACTCATTGATGAGTATAACTTGTTGAGTCTCATGCATGAGTGTTACTTTGTATTTTTATGTTTTTCATGAATCTTTCTGTTGAGAAGGGATGTGCAATAATTGTTGTTTCAGTGATACAACAAAAATGTATATGTATTTATGCTCAATAGGTACAATGTAACCTATTGGTAGGCACTCCTAGGTACAATATAGAATTAAAATGAACATTGTACATGTACTTGTGCTCAAGACATACATGTATTTAACATTTCTACAAAATCTTTTCACATCTGTATAACATACTACATAAATGTATAGGATGGGATAAATGATCATATATCATTAACTGAATGAAAATATTACATATGTATATAGGTTCCTATGTCTTGGAAAAAAAGCCTTGTCTTTTTTGTTTACGTGTATTCGTGTGTGGTTCTAAAGCTGAACATTTTAGATCTGAGCAGAGGTGGAATGTTTTAGTTAAATAATATTAGATATTTAATTCATATGAGGGACAAGAAATGTACAAATTGCATTGGTAGATTAATGATGACAGACTCTCATTTGTTGTAAATTTTCTAATATTGCATGTTGTCTGAGAGATGTAAAAATATTGTTCATCTTATGGAGATCATAGATTATGCCCCGTAGAATTAGATTCTATTTTTCACTTGTAACATACCGGTAGTTATTGTGCAGTTCATCTTTATATTTGTACTTGCTTTTGATTGTATTTTCCATTTTGTTGTCATACTAGTGATCATATCATAGTCAACAGCCGATACAGCTTCAGCATTCAGAAAATTTAAAACCTGATTTCAACGACTTTTAATCTTTCCGACAATTTGGGAATAAAGTGGATAATTTTTCTTTTATTTGTAGAATTAATATGTTGTAGTGTATTTATAATAAACATTTATGTAGTTAACTAGGATTTGATTTCTACAAAAGCCATGTATTATTGTGATATCTTTTCTGTTCTATTTAAAAGAATTAAAGTAAACACTGTAAGGCCATATAAAATTAATCTTTAGATTCTCATCCCCGCCCGCCCCTCTCAAAATGTCCCGCCCCGATGTATCTTATTTTGATTTTTTGAGTATTTTCATGTATTTTTATTCAGTAAGAATTTGGGTCAAAGTTTAAGAGTTATCTCCCGTCTGTATTAAAAGTCGCGTGTCGCTATTTATAGCAAAAACGCCAATTGAAGAATGGAGAAAAATCGGCAATAAAAGCAGTTTAAATGTGTAAGGAAAAGATAATTTGTCAGTATAGAGAAGGCAGAGAAGAAAAAATAGCATAAACACATATAGATACCATCACTGGCAGGAGCAAGTATGTAGAGAGATTGTAACTAAGTAAAAATAGACGAGGAAAATGACACCTGGTCAAGTTATGTATAACGATCTCCAGCTGTGTGACTTAGCTTTGAAATAAAAAAAAAATCTACAACATCGTAGACAGACTTAAGAGAAGGCCTAGATTTTTCAGTAGAATAATTATTAGAACATTTATATAGATTTTGCAAAATAAGAAGTCACGCATACACAATTTATTGGTATCCCCATGCACCTCATTTTGTTCAGGGTGTGCCGTATAATGTGTACTTGATAATTTGTTAATTAACAATAAATATTTAACTTTTAAAGCAAAAATTTTCTTTAAATATTTAAAAGAATATGAAAAGAATTAAATATATTCATATTTGCATTAAGGTAATGAAAAAAATGTGTACGGGGCGTCCATTGTTTTGTTGATACTTAGGCCTATATATAAATTAACAATTATAAAAAATAAAAAATAAAATCCGCCCACCCGCCCCAATTTTTTTGCAAATTAGGATGAGAATCTAAAGATTAATTTTACCTGGCCTAAGTAGAAAAATAATTGCATATATTTTATTCCATTTCCATAGGAAATGTTTTTATTATTTTATTTTTGTGTTTCACCATACAAACATACATTTTGTACATCAATATACAGTCAATTCTCGAATTATCGCCATTCGATTCATCGCCATTTTCGCAATACCGCCATGATTTCCCAAGAACGTTTTTCCTGCTATATAAAATTCTCTTTATAACGCCAAATTCGCATACCGCCATCCGCCACCCTGTTTTCACAACAAACGTCCATTTTTAAGTGTCAATTATCTCGATATACCGCCACAGGTGCGTGTGGTCAGTGAAGCGCGGCTAATTGGTTGACACTATCCCTGTTGTAAAGCATGCAAAGCCAAACAAGGTACATGCAATTAAGTAGTTAAAGAAGAATAAAATAAACAATAATTTTAACATGAACTGTTATAATAATTTTGTTTTCTGTTTACTGAAAATATTTAGTTACGGTTTCGCCACGAAAGCGGTCGTTGTTAAAGTAAGCCGAAAACGATATTATTTTGATGATCTCTACTTTTAACAATGCAAAGTTTGCTGAAAATGATAATTATACGGTATAAAATGTGAACGTTTCATTAACAATGATGCCATAAACAATGAATTTATTCAAGAATGCATTTTACATACTATCGGCAATATATCACGACGATCCACCCGGCATGTTTTTTTTTCAATATCAGACGTGCAGATGTACATGCATACACATGTTCTTGTCTTTATTTCATAACTGCACATTTTTTGAGTGAAAAAAAAATTACTTGAAGTATTTTCAATCAGAAATATGTTTTTATATACATGTATATGTAATATTAAGAATAGAAATGCTAAATGGTATTTCTAAGAACGGTAACTCTACTTCTTGTTTTCTAAAATATGGGAAATTCAATTCATCGCCAAATTCGTTATACCGCCATGATTTCTAAATTACAAAAGGTGGCGGTTTTTCGAGAATTAACTGTAGTTAAATTTAAGTCAAATTTTTTATAAACATAATAAATTTGTTGAACTAAGATTTTGAAATATCAAACAATTTTGGGACCATGATAAAGTAAGACCAATATTTTCAGTCACATGTAAAGAAAATAATTTTTATTTTTGTGATATCTTTTAATTTTTTATTTTATTAAAATTACCTTTGTGACTCTTCCTTACAATTTTATTGGGCAGCCATGTTGCCCTCCTTTGATAATTTAACTTTATACATTTTTTTTTAAAAATATTTGGCAGTTATTACAAATGGTTGTAATCCAAGAGGCAAAGTTTACATGACACTTATTATGATTTTGTAGATATTACTCACTGGTAATTATTTAATGATCTAATGTATTCAAGATCTTTTTCAGTATTTATGAATCAGTCATTTACCCCAAACTTGTATATATCCTATGTATTGTCTTTCAACATTACTAAATTAAATTCATTTTCCTAATCTTTAAAAAACATGTTATTGCTGTAAATCTACTCTGTTATCTTGATTTTTTCCATAAACCATGGAATTTATGGAAAACAATTTTCATATCCCTGATCAAGGATAGTGAAAACATTAACCCACCATTGTATGACGTTAAAAATGTCATAATCATTCTACGGGAGGTGGGGGTGTATAATTTTACTCCTATTTTCAATTAGTAGTAGCCAAAAGGTTTAACCAAAATTTGGAAGTTGAGGCATTTTGCCTCAAATTTCTGACAACAATGAAAGCTAAAGTGTTCAGAGGTCTTCTAATTGCATGTATATATGTACACTATTGTATTAAAATAAAGAGGGGAGAGCTCTTTTAAGGTACCAGGTAGATTTACAACAATATTTATCACTCTTTAGATTCATTCTCTAAAAATGATAAGCATTTTACAACTTCGGCATTACTGTATTCAAGAAACAAGGAACAAGTATATCTTTAATGTAGTGTTTGTATCAATAGTTGTTTATAGCATAAGATTGGTTGTTTTGATAATTTTATAACTTTAATTTTTTTTAACTACAGTATGTTAACTGTGTTTGTCTAGTGAAGATATTCATACTTGTCAGTGGTGTTGTATTTTATAGTAACTATTGTAATTTTTATTGTGACAATAAAACTGTCAGACATAAATAAATGGCCATGTATTTTTGTTTGCTGATTAACCCCCTTCCCCGCAGTCATGCATTTTAACGCATATACCATTTCCTATTTCTAACGCAAAATACGCATAAACCGTTTCCCCGCAATCACGCATTTTCACGCACTTTAAAAAGTTCATTTAATCGTTAATTTAATGCCAATTTCCTTCTATTCTATGCTTGCAAAAATCTCATCAAATAAGAAAAGTTATTTTTGAATTAAAATATAGCGTCATAATTTTATTTACGCTAAACTTTAGAGAAACGTGTACCACGCTAAAAAGTGCTTGCGGGGAAATGGTAAATTTCTATTTCTATGACGTGAACATTTAGTGTATGCTGCATAACAGTTCAGTAAGTTGTAAAGAGTTAATGAAGATATATTCATAACCTTGACATTTTTTTTTTTCGACAACACAGCTTTCACCCTGCATGCTCGCTTGTAATATTATTGTGGTGTGAAGGGAGACAACATAGTTTAATTTTCATCCTTCATGTTTGGGAGACATTACATTACAAAACTTCTCCCTTCTACTGACTTGCTCTAAACTTATTAAGTCGTCTGTGTTATTCTGATGGATTATAATACAACTTCAAGATACTGGGGGTTCAAATCTAAATTTTTTCACAATCTATATCTATATATTGTTGCTTTTGATAGAACTATAATTTGGATATCTTGGCAAGATTGGTGGCTAAAACATTCTCAATAGCTCTGACTTTTTATTTATTTATTTTTTTAAATAAAGTATGTAAATTATTTGGCTAAAAAATACACAAAAGAAGGGGAAAAAGATTTATGCAATCGTATGAGATATTGGATTCAGTAGTAGTCACTTTTGGAAATTTTTATATAATAACTTGCGACAACTGAAAAACCAGGGGCGTAGTATCAGGGGGGGCCTGGCCCCCCCACTTTTTTTCCCAACCTTACTTAGAATAGAATAGAATAGAATATTTATTCAATATTTATTCAACCAATTTGGGCCCACAATGGAGCATACAGAAAAGTGTCCAAAATCATCACTTACACTATAGGAAATGTTAATTCAAAGCCTGTTTGGCCCCCCGACTTTTAGAAATGTACCCAAAATGTAGTATAAGAATTGGTACTAAAAGTAGTTGAGACTGAAAAAAAGTTTACCCCCCCCCCCCCCCCCCCCCCCCCCCCCCCCACGAAATAAGATTTTCGACTTCGGGCAATTTTTTTTTTTTTTTTTTTGGTTGTCAACTTTTTCAGGTAAGTAAAAAATATAATTTTTTCTCTGCCTGGCCCCCCCACTTTCAAAAACGATGCTACGCCACTGAAAAACTGAATACTTAAATTTAATACAAAATGAATTGCAACTATTGCATATCCTTTTAATTAAAGTATTGTCTTTATTTTCGTTGTCACTCATGATGTAGTATATTTTAGCTGATTGTTTTCAATGAAGTTTTACTATTATTATTACTGAATCAGGTGAGCATTGTTGCCTATTGACCTAATTTTGAGATTTAGATTCTTCAGGATAATAAAACTTATAGAATGTTTCATAATGGAGAAATCAAAGTTATCGGGTCTGATTAGGGTTGACACTCGAAGTCGGAAGGTGCCTGTCCATAATCGTGGAGATGGGCGCGTTATAATTCGGATAGCATTGTACGAAACCGGTTTTAATTTTAGTGATTGGAACTCTTTTATGTTTGAAGATTAAAACGACTTCTCCGCGGGAACGTTGTGTAACAAAATTTTGTTGTGTAACATAAAGCATAGACATCTTCGATTTTATGTCTATGCATAAAGTTCTGTTATGTTAAATTGAATTATCAGAATACAAGACACAATAATGTTGGCAACTAGAAGAAGCAAAAGGAACCGTGTGCCGTCAGAAAGCGACGAGCTACAACGCCATAAGAGACTCAAGGTATATGTCTTTTTCTGCGCAATTGCAATCTTCGATCAAAAGTTCTGAAAGTTTTGGAACAACAGTTAAAAACAGTTACTCCATGAATTAATTTAAATAACAAAGAAGTTCAGTTCAGGTTATCATGATAATAGATTGGTAATTATTCAGCTCAATATGAAGTAATCATGATCATCCATGCCACACCGCACAAAAAAGTAGGGAACAGTTACCCAAACAATGGAAATAGTTAATAAAATATCTGTAAATAATTTTTTTATTTAATTAGCCCCTGCATGGTCACTGCGGTACTACTCTTTTGCAGGGCAAATTAATAACGTATCATATTTCACCAAAAGATATCATTTTGCCCTGCAAAAGTCAAAAGAGTATAGTACTGCAGTTACCGTGAAAGGGTCTGTTATAGAAATTAGAATTGATTTTTCTTCGAGAAAATATAACTTGATTTGCCTCAAACTGCATACAAACTGCGTCAAGATTTACGAAATGACGTCACATGAACAAGTGCATTGTGATCAGTGACTTGTTTATAACTTGAAATGTAGGATTTCACTAAGTTTAAAGACAAAACAGTATGCTGCAGTAAGTTTTGATGTAGTTTAATGGTTTTCTACGGGTTTATTATAATAGCAAATCACCTCATTCTGTGGTATTTTTGAGAATTGTTGGTTTTGTATGATGTCATATAGTTAAGTTTTCCCGTGCAAATTAGGCTCTGCCCCCTTTTCGTAACCTTACTGTGCTGCGTGCTTATCCTCAGTTCATTAAAAGAAAGAATAAAAGGAGAAAACAAAACAAAGCAAAGAAATCACTTCTTATGCATCTGGATCGAGATTCCACACATATCTCAGAAGTTTTCGACAAAATGGGAAATACTGGAGAAATTTATGTAAAGAAAGTATTACCTCAAATAAAAAGTCCTGTTTTTGTGGATGCAAACATTAGTTTTGTTGCATGGAGATCAATTAAATCTTTGTTTATATTTTTTTCATGTAAGTTGTTGTTATGTTTAAGCCACCATGTTGCTTTGGGCGGTAAAGAATTATTGGGAGTTTGGAATTTTTCACGTGGACTCATAAAATTTTCTTGGAAAAATTGTGCAAATTTCAACCCGAATTTCCTCCATTTGTACATGCTGTCTATGGAGCTCACATAGCGAGCGGTGCAAAGGTGCATTATTGCTAGTAAAAACGTTACTAGCATAATTGAACAAGTGCAACAATAAATTTTTGGCATACTCTGTTAGAAAATTTGTAACAGTATACTTATTTAAATAACCTTCATCGTTGAGGCAATGATGCAAATTAGAATTTAAAACCAGATTGAATTATTATAAGCTTTGCTCATGCTACTTTGGATTGATATAGGACAGAGTAAAATTGCTGTAGGCCTATTATGAATAGACAGTGTTTTCAGTTTCTAGTTATCCTGAATTTTACATTTGCAGAATGGAATGACATCTATAAAGAGGGAAACACAGCAGCCCCTGACATCGATACCACAAAACATACCCAGTATGCCAATTGTCCCTAAGCAGGAAATGTCAAAGGTCAAGGAGGAGGAAATCTCCAGCAGTGAGGTAAAGGAAGCAGAGAAGAGAGAGTTGTGAACTTATCAGTAGAATTAGTGACAAGTGTTAACATCAATAAAGTGAAATCAACAAAAGTTCATTCTAATATTGCTACAATATCTTTCAGGATATTCAATCTATGTAGTAATTGGTAACAGAATGTTAACCAAACATCAACAATTTTTGCTAAAAAAATGTGATTGAAGATCTGGAGATAATAAAAAATACAACTGTAGTCTAAATGTTTTCAAATGAAAAAAAAATTCATTTGTATATGCGTTTATTTTTATTGGATTAAAATTTCCATTAGTTGGCATTTTAGCTTTTTGAGAGATTTAAATTATCATGGGAAATTCAGAGTAATACATAATTACACATTTTCTTTGCTATACTTGATGTAGGATGATGATGAGGAGGAGTGGGATTTAGAGAAGAGAAGACAGAGAAACATACAGGACAATGCAGAAATCTTCTCCAGATTAGGATTTCAGCAGGTATAACAATGTAGAATTTTCTTATTTAAAACGCAGATTTGCTTAGGTACTGTAAATACATGTAAGAAATATTTCTTTTGGGGTTAATTAATTTAGTTTATTTCATCATGAATAATAATCAATAACATTAAATTCTACATAAAATATTTATCATTAAAAGTGTAGAGAAATACATCCCCCTTGACACCTGACTTTTTCCCCCAAATATTATTGTAGTTCACAAAGTCAGAAGTTAAGAAGTAAACTCGAGACAAATCTGATATTCACAGACTAGTGAAGACAATCTCTAACCACAACCCCCACCCCCACCCCCACCCGTTCAACCCCCCAAAAAGCAGGACTAAAGTTTATTACCGTATAATCCCTATTAACCGCCCCTGCCCCTATAAGCGCCCCCTTAGATTTTTTTTCAATTGTCAGGAAATAAGGGCCCTCTGTACAGTGATTAAAGTCAACTAGAATCGTATAAAAAATTGAAGAAAGTGAAAAGAAACTTGTGTATTATCCAACTTCTCAATGGAAAATGAATAATTTAGCATAATTTGGGTGAATTATCTTCACTTTAAGTAAAGTTAGACATTATTTTAGTGGTTGCTATTTTTTTTTTTTTGAAAGATTTTGAGAAGTTAAAATATGACATTAAATATTAAAAAGAGAATGCCAAAATAACCACCCCCTTTTTGCAATTTTCTTAGCGCCAGGGGCGGTTAATAGGGATTATACGGTAATACTTACTTTTAGTGGATGATCTTCAGTTATTTAGGACCACATATTATGATAACTAGGAGATTATGTCTGATTAATTTATATGAGAACTTTTTATTATATTATACATATTATATTATTCTTGGACTAGCCTATTGTTATGTTATAAAAAAAAATTGTTATTTCAGGCTAAAGTGGAGTTACAGATGTCCTCTAAAAAATACAAACCAAAGCCTGCTACAAAGAGGTATTTTATATGACTTTTTAACTTGATTCTTGTACTAAGAAAAAATGCACTTCATTTTGATAATTGAAATTGATAAATTGATTGGAAAAGCAATTTTGTTCCATGTATCATATAGGATAAATTATTTTAGTAATAAAAAATTGGGGGGGGGGGTACCAATTTTATTTAATTTGGAAAGTTCTACTGAAAGAAGTTCTGTATTGAATAACTCAAAATCACCATGAAAATTTCAAAAGTAAAAACAAATTTAACTTTCAAGAAAGATAATATGAATTTGTACCTTGCTGTTTAAAAGATGTCCATAACCTTTAATTTGAGTGTTAAGGCTGAGTATTAACCTGTTAGTGTTATAACCTTGTACAGGATGAAGGTTCCTAAACCAGTGTTACCCAGTAGGAGGAGCCAGCGGTTACAGAGAATTGACCCTGATGGCCAGCCACTCCCAGAACTTCCTGTTGTCGAAACTCCAGTGTTTGAACATGTATGAACAATTTTATGTTTTATATATAAAAGAGAAATCCTTTAAGAAATTCAAAGATACAGACATCATACAGTTAAGGTTTGATTTTCATAAACATTTTTGAAAAAGAAAATACATGTTCATGAATTGAATTTAATATATTTGAATATAGATGTTACACTCATCTGTTTAATATTGAATATTTCTTTATTCCCTTTGTGTGCCTTTTCCTTCCATATTCATAATTCTGAAAAATGTGTTAAATTTCTTTTTTTTCATAATTCCCAAGAAAATTCTGTATGCTAATTCTGCTTCCTATTTATTTTCTAGGCCAGAAAACCCTCGGGCCCCTTGTCTATGGTGGATGCCTTATTTACAGGTAACCCAAAGGAGGACCATGACCTGCTTATGTCTTGTCTTGATGACATTAAGGTGAAGGTCAGCTGTAAAAGGGAGGATAACTCTCCCCTAACAAGGTTTGTTTGTTATATTTTACCAATCAAAAAGGCTTAATGAGACATACAGAGAAAAGAATATGATTTGAATTAGAGGATAAATACCAGGTGAATTTATATATATCATTTTCAATATTTGTTAACTTGACCATTTTGAAAGCTTTTGTAAATATCAAAGGTGTTTTAAATAAATTGGCATGCACACACTGGAAAACCATAGAGAAACAGTCTAATCTAGAAATGTTTTGAAATCACTCACCTTAAGAGTTGTACATAAATATTTGTACTAGGGACAAGATGCTGTAAAAAGTGGCATAGTGAAATTCTTTTCAGAAACATATCTCCAAGAGCAACATAGTAAGTATTACATTTATGCTTACAGTTTTGTCAAAGATTTAAACAAGCTGAGGTTGCATGGAGACGGAGTGTCTAAGGTTGTGCCAGACAGAATCTTCTCTCTTGCTATACATCCTGTAGAAAGTCGTACCTTAGTGATGGCAGGGGACAAATGGGGGAAGCTGGGATTCTGGGATGTGGTAGGCATTAATATACACTCCAGTATGATATACAGTCAATATATCAATTTTGTAACAAATTTTTGAGGAAGGGCTATTCCAGAAAAAAATGTATGGGGGGGTTGGAAGGCACTTTTATTTTTACCCCACCACCCATTCATTTTTAATTGCTTTCTCCCCCACCACCCATCAAATTAAATATGCTTTAAATACAACCACCCATCTAAATTAAAATAATTTTTTGCAAGATCTTTGTTTTCAGTTATGTATATCGGTATATACAATAAAATTTTATGTACCAGTACTTTTTTCAAGCATTTGCACTTTAATTATGCGACTTGAAATGAGTGTTCAGATTTTGGTACTTTTTTCAAGCATTTGCACTTTATGTGACTTGAAATGAGTGTTCGTTTTTTGGATCTATCCAAACCAGGACCTCGTTTAAAAAGGAAAAAACTTAATAAATATGATGAAAATCGAAATGTTATGCACAAAACTTTCTTTTTTTTCCCCATTACTTTGAAAAAGGTTAATATTAATCTGTTTGAAAAGAATTTAGAAAGTTTTTTTAATATGCATATACATTTTAACAGAAACAACAGATTTGTAAGATTTTACATTCAACTAAATCTTTAGTTCAAGTCCAAAGTTCTTTTGAAAAACAGGCCACAGGGTTCCTGCTATAGCCTATAGGTTAAAAAATGTATCCCTTTAGGTCTGTCATACATACCACTGAAAGTGGTATAATAATGATTTTTATATATCTGTTTTGACGCTTGACTTTGTAATGTGTAAAGTTCAAGTAAAACTAAGACATGTTAACATGCACTAGTAGATATGATATTCCTATAATGAATTAAAGCCAATCCTTAAGAGTTGCATGTTAATTTTTTTTTTCATTTCTCTTTTTTTTTGGGGGGGGGGGCACTAAAGTTATGTAGGGCATTGTCTATAATAGAGAGAAATATTAAAAAAAAACAACGAAGTGTTGATCCCACCTACAAGTAACAACCAAAGGTACTTGTTTCTTGAAATATTTAAAAAAAAAATTCTTTTGTATATAATGAGTTAAAAATAAATTCGAGATAACACCCAACAGGTTAAGGACTGGTATGTACTGGACATATTATATTGTTACAAACTCATATATCAACATCATTTGACTCCGTATTTGGTATAAAGTAAAATATTCGACTTGCAAAGTTCATAACAATGCTCTTGAATGTTCATTATCAGATACGTTTTTTTTTTTCTTTCGGTTTAAAAGAAAACGATCTCTGATTATTTGTCATATCATTCAATTTACCAATATAATCACGTTTTATTAAACTGCTGGAAAGAAACTTGAACACAGCCAGGGTCCAGAACACAAAGAATCCGTGTCCCAATCCTCCACTGTCATTCCAGTCATGACACCACATGCTTTTATAATTATCTGCCCTTGCTTCCGGTTTGTTCGATTCTACTTTCACTTTCAATGTAAACACAGTTTTACAACTGTTCAGGACGAGTTTATTATTTTTTTAAAATAAATATCAAGATTTACCGGTTTATACAAAATGAAATGAAAGAAATTTGTGAGGGTAAGTGCAACCACCCATCTAAAAATATATCGGATGAGGACAACCACCCATACAAATTTAATTGCTACAGTCCCCATTACCCATACAAAAATATATGAACTGCCGTCCAACCCTCCCATACATTTTTTTCTGGAATAGCCCGAACTGAAAACCTTTTCACTTTGCTTATTGGGTAAAGGTGACACTTTTCAATTTTTAAACCACTGTTTTCAAAATACATTTGAATTTTGTTCATGAGAATTTACATCTGAATTAGGTGCGAGATAAATCGGACGAAACAGATGGTATAGTTGTTTACCACCCTCATTCTCGACCAATCAACGATCTTCGAGTCTCTCCTTACAATCATCAACAAATCATCTCGGCCAGCTACGACGGAACTTCTCGATGCTGTGATCTTCAGAAGGCTGTGTTTGATGAGGTAGGTCTTAAATTGAGTTGTATCTTATTATGTTCCCCAAACGGAGTTTGGGAACATATTGTTTTTACTCTGTTTCTTATTATGTTCCCCAAACGGAGTTTGGGAACATATTGTTTTTACTCTGTTTCTTATTATTATGTTCCCCAAACGAAGTTGGGGAACATATTGTTTTTACTCGGTTTTTTATTATTATTATTTTTCTTCTTCTTCCTGGGTACTTTTTTGTCCGCGAGTGATCTTGTAAACTGTTCATCCGAAGTAGGTAAAACCTTTATAGGGTTAGTAGACATGTTATGTAGATTTGCGGAATCAAGGTCATTTTCCGCGCACGTGCTTGCAAGAGCGTGCACGTGCAACACGTGAAATGACCAGTATAATAGATATAGCCGTAACTTTTCTATTTTTTGACTATATGCTTTGAAACTCATAATATAAGTTTATATTAGTTGTATATGCGTAATGACATGTTCCTCGCGCACGTGCTTGCAAGAGCGCGCACGTGCAACACGTGAAATGACTAATATAATAGATATAGCCGCAACTTTTCTATTTCTTGATGAAATGCTTTGAAACTCATAATATAAGGATATATTAGTAGTATAGACATGATGACATGGTCAAAATAGCAAGATCTCACGCGCATGCACGTGCGCTTCGCTCTGATTGGCTGAAACTAAAGTCTCAATATTTTTCATGTTTCTTGTAATAATATTTTGAAATTTTGAACAAAGTCTTAAATTATGAAGATCTACAGCATGATATAAAAAAATTTTCATGAAAGCATGCGCATGCGTGTGTGCTGCAATCTGATTGGCTGAAACTTTAAATGGCTATATCTCCTTTGTTTTTTGACGAAATGCTTTGAAATTTAAAACATAGTCATGCAGTAGGATATCCTACAATACGATATAGAAAGAAAATCATTAAATCACGCGCATGCACGTGTGCTGCAATTTGATTGGCTGAAACTTTAAATGGCTATATTTATTTTGTTTTTTGACGAAATGTTTGGAATTTTAAATATAGTCATTCATTAAGATATCCTTCAATACGATTAAGATAAAAAATTCATGAAATCACGCGCATGCATGTGTGCTGCAATCTGATTGGCTGAAACTTCAAATGGCTATAACTCCCTTGTTTTTTAACCAAACAGGATTGGATTCAGAACATAGATAAATATAAGGGACTCCTACAAGAAGGTGTGTTCATCATGCACTTGCTTGCACGTGCGTGCACGTGAAATGAGTAAAATTAAAAATACACTCGAATGAATGTATTTTTTAATACTTTTGGATAACATCTTTGATATCAAGTATATTAAAATATATAGATAGTGTAGACAAGATAATATGGCCGTTACGTACATGAACACGCGTACAATGCTTAAATTTAAATATATTTTGTATTCTTCTGGGAAGACCTTGATAAGTTTAAATTCCATTAAGTATTTCTTATTTAATAGAGATTACAGGGAATATGGCACCAAAAGGGAGTTGGGGAGCGTTTGGGGAACATCTGTAACGGTCCCCGTTACAATTAGCACTAGTTATTCTTTTTTCTTCTTATTTCTTCTCCGGACTTTTTTTGTCCGCGAGTGTTCTCAGAAACTGTTCACCCAACTGAGCTAAAACCTTTTTAGGGTTAATAGATGTGTAGTGTAGGTGTGCGGAACGAAGGTCATTTTGCGCGCATACGCGTGCACGTGCGTGCGCGTGATATGAGTGAAATGACTGATATACTTAATATGGCTATAACTTTTACATTTTTTAATGAAATGATTTGAAACTCATTATATATAGATATATTAATAGTGTAGATAATGTGACACTGTCAAATTAGCACAAACTCACGCGCATGCACGTGCGCTTTGATCTGATTGGCTGAAACAAAAATTTCAATATCTTCTCTGTTTTTTGACGAAATGCTTTGAAATTTAAAACGTAGGCATGCTTTAGGATATCCTACAATATGGTATATAAGAATTTTCATCAAATCACGCGCATGCACGTGCGCTGCAATCTGATTGGCTCAAACTTTAAATGCCTATTACTCCCATGTTTTTCAACCAAACAGCACGGGATTTAGAACATAGACAAACATCATGGACTCCTAGAAGAAGGTATGGTCATCATGAACATGCTTGCACGTGCATGAACGTGTCCTTCGCTCTGTTTGGCTGAAACAAAAATCTCAATATCTTTTTTTGTTTTTTGACGAAATGCTTTGAAATTTGAAACATAGGCATGCTTTAGGATATCCTACAATATGATATATAATAATTTTCATCAAATCACGCGCATGCACGTGCGCTGCAATCTGATTGGCTGAAATTTTAAATGGCTATAACTCCCTTATTTTTCAACCAAACAGGATGGGATTCAGAACATAAATAGATATTATAAACTCCTACAACAGGGAATGGTCATCATGCACATGCATGCACGTGCGTGCACGTGAAATGAGTAAAATTCCAAATACACTAGATTAAACATATTTTTGGATTAAATGCTATAACATTTAGTATATTAAAATATATCAATATTGTAGACAAGATGATATGGTCATTACGCACATGCATTCAAATGCGCGTGCGTGCAATGCTGAAATTGAATACTTCTGGTAAAACTTAGTTACAGTCTTAAATGTATCGCGTTTGTCTTATTCAATGAAGCTTACAGGGAATAAGGCACCAAAAGGGAGTTGGAGAGCGTTTGGGGAACATCTGTAACGGTTCCCGTTACAATTAGCCCTAGTTATTATTATTATTATTTTTTTTCTTATTTCTTCTCCGGTACTTTTTTTGTCCACGAGTGTTCTCAGAAACTGTTCACCCAACTGAGCTAAAACCTTTTTAGGGTTAATAGGTGTGTAGTGTAGGTGTGCGGAACGAAGGTCATTTTGCGCGCACACGCATGCACGTGCGTGCGCGTGAAATGAGTGAATTGACTGATATACTTAATATAGCTATTACTTTTACATTTTTTTATGAAATGATTTGAAACTCATCATATAAAGATATATTAATACTGTAGATAATGTGACACTGTCAAATTAGCACGAACTCACGCGCATGCACGTGCGCTTCGCTCTGATTGGCTGAAACAAAAAGCTCAATATCTTTTCTGTTTTTTGACAAAATGCTATGAAATTTAAAACATAGGCATACTTTAGGATGCACTACAATATGATATATAACAATTGTCATGTAAACACGCGCATGCACGTGCACTGCAATCTGATTGGCTTAAACTTTAAATGGCTATAACTCCTTTGTTTTTCAACCAAACAGTATGGGATTTAGAACATAGACAGACATAATGGACTCCTACAAGGTGGTGTAATTGTCATGCACATGCATGCACGTGCGTGCACGTGTGCTTTGCTGTGATTGGCTGAAACAAAAATCGCAATATCTTTTTTAATTTTTGACGAAATGCTTTGAAATTTTAAACATAGTCATGTATTAGGATTACCTACAATATGATATATAACAGTTGTCGTAAAAACATGCGCATGCACGTGCGCTGCAATCTGATTGGCTTAAACTTTAAATGGCTATAACTCCCTTGTTTTTCAACCAAACAGGATGGGATTTAGAACATAGACAGACATAATAGACTCCAACAAGATGGTATGGTCGTCATGCACGTGCGTGCACGTGTTCTTCACTCTGATTGGCTGAAACAAAAATCTCAATATCTTTTCCGTTTTTAGACGAAATGCTTTGAAATTTAAAATATAAGCATACAATAGGATGTCCTACAATATGATATATAAAAATTGTCATTAAATCACACGCATGCACGTGCGCTGAAATCTGATTGGCTTAAACTTTAAATGGTTATAACTTCCTTGGTTTTCAAAGAAATAGGATGGTATTTAGAATATTGATAGACATAATGATCCCCTACAAGAAGGTATGGTCATCATGCACATGCTTGACCGTGTGTGCACGTGAAATGAGTAAAATTAAAATATGCTTGAATAAGTGTATTTTTTAATACTTCTGGATTAAATGCTTTGATATTAAGTCTCTTTGAATATATATACATAGTGTTGAAAAGATGATAGATCATAACCCATATGCATTCACATGAACTCGCATGTCATGCTTAAATTTAAATATATTTTGTAGTCTTCTGGGAAAACGTTGTTTAAGTCTAAATTGCACAAAGTATGTCTTATCTAATAGAGCTGAAAGAAATATGGCACCAAAAGGGAGTTGGGGAGCGTTTGGGGAACATCTGTAACGGTCCCCGTTACAATTAGCCCTAGTTGATTTTGAAATGCAGAGTGAAGAATGTTTTTTCATGCTTAAGGTATATTCATCAATATTGATTTTCTAGTATCTTATTTTTTATGTGTCCTGTAACAAATTTGCAAATTAATTTTACAGGTGTACGTGACAGATGAAGATGACGACAATCTTTTGAAGAATTTTGACTTTGTTTCTGCGGACACTCTTGTTTATTCCCAGCAGGATGGCACTGTTGCTTTTGTGGACAGAAGAACCCCTGGGTAAGAAATAGTCATAGATATTCACATTTAAGAAAAAAGAGGCAGATACATGTATTTCAGAAGCTCTATACTTGGTACATGTTAATATACTGTAAATGTGTTATTTTTTCCAATTTAAAAAAAAAAAAACATTGTCTTATTTTAATGTCCATAGTTGATGAAATGTGAAAGCTTACATGTGTTCAAAACAATCATGATTAGATGTGAATACAAGACAGAATAGATTTGTTTATTTTATATATTTTATTCTACAGGACAAATGCAGAGCATGTATACTCTCTCCATCACAAGTCCTTACGTACTGTGTCTGTACATCCCCTGAACAACCATGTTATCCTCACGGGCAGCACTGACTGGTCAGTTGACGTCATTGTAAACTATTCTATATTTAGTGTCAGATCATCAAATTACATGTGTACCTCCCTCTGTTACATCTTATCCAGTTTCTCTACTTAGTTTATGGATTAAGAAATCATAAACTTTAAAGAATAGTATGTTCATTAATCCTCATTTTTTTATAGAAACCACATCTTGTTCTTGAATATAGTTATTGTCTTGAATTATGCAAGAAGAGTTACTATTCTTTATGACATTACAGCACGGCGAAGATATGGGACATGAGGAATCTGAAGACAGGAGGGAAGTCCAATAAATGGCTGGACGAGATTGGTCACAGTAAGAATGTTTACAGTGCCTACTTCTCACCAATCACTGGGAAGTACATACTGACCACATCACTGGACGGTACCCTCAAGTAAGGAAATAGAATTCTTAACAAATCAATATTCATTTGATAAATTATAACATTTATAGAAACAGAAATTAAAAATTACATGAAAGCATTTGAATTTTTTTTAATAATTATTAGTCATTAGTTTACTAACTACAACTTAAGTGTCAGAACTAAGAAAAATTATAGTCAAGTTTAACAATTTTTCTCCATGTTTATGAAATACATGGTAAAATGTTAATTAATGGAAGTTATTAATTATTTAAAAATGGTAAAGAATCCGCTTCAATTTCAGATAGACATTCTTAGTTTCCAAGATATATGATGAAAGAAATGGGCAAGTCTTTCCTGATCTTCATTGGAAAACTGTTCTATTAAATTTTTGATCCTTGATTTTCAGTGTAGTGGAATGTTCAGACTCATGGTCTGGAAAACTGGGAAAGAGAAAAGTTATCAGGTATTTAAATAATTAGCTCTGTAGGAAAAGGTGTCTGTAGTATCTCAATATAACTGACCTTCTGTCGTTAACTTTTTTTTCTTCAAATTTCTACTTTTCTGATGATTTTAGTCCAATTTCAAAAAGAAATGACACATAAAGAATCTGAACTAAAATCTTTTTTCTGTTTATTGTTATTGCCATGGTTTCAAGTCCAAGTGCTATTTTTTCTATGATTATAAGTACAAATAAGTGAAGAAACAGTCTTATCAGAGACATTTTGGTTTTAATTATTAAAAATAAATCTGCTGAACAATATCTTGATTCCAACAACTTGAGAAAGGTTGCCAAAAATGCACCAGGTGGTTAAAGCCGCTTAATCCGAAACAGGCACATATTATCTTACACAATAGAAGTACGTCATTGCATAGATAATATATAAAAATAAATTATAAGATTGATTTAATAGTTTACTACAACAGTTCTTACATGGAAAACGGAGATCAAAAACCTTACTGACAAACAGAAGTTCCTGATGGGAAGTTAAGATCTGTTGTGAAGTCACCTTTGAAAAAAAATAAATTTATCGTTTATACATGTATCTAATTATAAAGATAATTCAAACCTGAGTATTTTTAGCTCACCTCAACGAAGTTGGGGGAGCTTATGTAATACCCTCGGCGTCCCCGTCGGCGTCGGTGTCGGCGTCCCAGGTTAAGTTTTTTGGAGCAGTTTTCTTTTAAAGTACTTCTGTGACCTATATTGATTAGACATGCTTGGAAGATGTTTCTAGTGTGTTTCATTGTACCAGTCAAAGTTTCAGATGCTGCAATTTCAGCAAAGGAAACCAGGTTAAGGTTTTTGGAGCAGGTTAACATTTTTGGTGCAGTTTTTGGTGTTGGTGTCATTTCCAAGGAACTATAAGCCCTATGTTGACCAAACTTTCATGGATGATACATCTAAGGATGCACGCTACCAGGCTTGCTTCGGATGCTGAATCTGACCTACATTTTCCAGTTGAGTGAACAGGTTAAAGTTTTGGTGCAGGTCTCATTTCCAAGTAACTATGAGCACTATAATGACCAAACTTGCATGGATGATAAATCTAAGGATGCACACTACCAGGCTTGCTTTGGATGCTGAATCTGACCTACATTTTCCGGTTGAGTGAACAGGTTAAAGTTTTGGTGCAGGTCTCATTTCCAAGTAGCTATGAGCACTATAATGACCAAACTTGCGTGGATGATACATCTAAGGACGCATACTACCAGGCTTGCTTCGGATGCTGAATCTGACCTACATTTTCCAGTTGAGTGAACAGGTTAAAGTTTTTGGTGCAGGTCTCATTTCCAAGATACTATGAGCACTATAATGACCAAACTTGCAGGTTTCATACATCTTATGATGCATACTACCAGGCTTGCTTCAAATGCTGAATCTGACCTACATTTTCCAGTTGAGTGAACAGGTTAAAGTTTTTGGTGCAGGTCTCATTTCCAAGATACTTTGAGCCCTATTTTGACCGAATTTGCATGGATGGTACATCGAAGGATGCATGCTACCAGACTTACTTCGGATGCTGAATCTGACCTACATTTTCCGGTTGAGTGAACAGGTTAAAGTTTTTGGTGCAGGTTTCATTTCCAAGTAACTATGAGCCCTATAATGACCAAACTTGCATGGATGATGCATATTAGGATGCACACTAATGGACTTGCTTTGGATGCTGAATTAGACATACATTTTTCAGATAATGGACCAGGTAAAAGTTATGGGTGAAGGTCTACTACCAAAAAACTATAAGGCTTATATAACATTGTGTAAACCAAACTTGCACAAATGATGCATCAAGGGATGAAAACTCTCAAATTTGCTTCAGATGATGGATTTTAATTACATTTTCATGAAAAAGAACTAGTTTGAAGTTTTTATATAGCTCTATTCCAAAGTAAATCAAAATTGCATAAATATTTTCATTTTGGAATGTACACTTTTTGTTGGTTTATTGTGTGACTTTGCCTTACTTAAAGACAACATTCGTTGAGGGGAGCTCTGTAATCTCTGATTACCTATGTTTTCTATTAGTAGAAGCCTAAATCATAATATTTTTTTTTAAATCAAGAAATTAATTGAATATAATCCAAAGTAATTTTTATATTAATATGCATATTTAAAGAATAAAGGAAAATCAGATATTTTTAAAGATATTTTTAAGGAAGTTTAGTGACGAAGGCTAAAATATTGTCTGTGTACAGGTACATGTATAAGTATTTGTGAAAAAAATGCTCGGGTTTGTTCTTCATGAGATAAACATGTACGCGATAAAGTTAATTTTTTGAAGGTGATTTCACGCCATATCAACATAGGATTATTTTTTGTGTGACCTAACAAAAATTATTTTTTTAACTTTTGAATTTAGATATCTTTTAAAAGAAAAAGACTTTAGGGATATAATTTGACAAAAGTTGAAACAATTTATGGACAATTATTTTTCAAGAAGAAAAACGAATATATTTTTTCGCGATTAGAATCGGACCTAGTGGCTTTAATATTAATAAATAAATCAATCAACGTTTTAGGCCATAACAATTATAAATCGCTAGATTCTCATCCGAATTTTTTTTAAAAATCGAGGCGGGCGGGCGGCTTTTATTTTATATTTTTTATTATTTCTATTTTGCAGATTTTTTATTGACCTGGTCAATTGGTGTAATTTTATCTACAATACCCGAATAAAAGTCATAGTAAAGGTTCAATTATCTCTTACTTCACATCATCGCCAATCTTTTTCAACCAATGACCCTTGTTTAAAATATATACGCATGTATTACAGCAATTACCATCTTTTCAGCTGTCAAAATCATGTCGACTTTCACGGGATATAAAACGAAAGTAGAATGGTAGATGAATACCGATCCTGAATTAAGACGAAGAAAAACAGAATTAAAAAAAATCGAGGCGGGGTATAAAATCGGGGCGGGCGGGGATGAGAATCGAGGAATATTTTTATTATGGCCATAATAATAATAATTTGCTTTGAAAGAATCTGAAATCGTGCAAGAAACTTTAACAATAGAAAGTGAAAAATTTAACGAGACAGTTTAAGGGAAACCTGCTTTTTCCATTGCAGTAATGAAGTCTGAAATATTTTAACTAGTTTTTACTAAATACGCACAACAAATCTTTTTAAAAAAGATTTTTTGTGTGTATTTGCATCCATGAGTGAGTACACAAATAGCATATAAATGTAAGATTTCTTTGTTTTTGATTTTAGACACAATAACCACGTAGGAAGATGGCTGACTCCATTTCGGGCATCATGGCATCCATTACGTGAAGATGTGTTTGTGGTGGGAAGTATGGAGAGACCTAGACAGGTAAACAGATAGACTAAACTTGTACTGACTAAAGTAGACACAGAGGAAGTACCACTAGGTATGAACTGACAAAAGTAGACTTCTACTAGACATATACTGCTAGAGTAGACAAAGTACCACACGACAAGTACTACTGTAGATTGTAAATATACGTGGGGGCTTAATTATCATGTAATATGAGAAGCACCACATGCGAAATAAAATTACTCGCCTTTATTTTTATGCTGATAAAATTTATGTAAAATATCTAGACCAACCGTCCATTTGTGTATTATTATCCTCGCGATTTAATGTCGAAGAGTCCATTCGTAACAAGTACCCGCGAAAAATAAGGAATCTACAGTACCTAAAGTTGACTTGGTAACACTAGACATGTACCAAGTAAAGCAACTTTTCTAACCATTGATACCTTAAACTTCAACTCGTTTATATAAAATAAATGATAGATATAATGGAAAATGTCTCTATATTTTCACATATTTTGTAGATACAAGTGTATGACAGCAAGGGTAAGATCCTACGTAACCTTACGGACCCTGACTGTTTGGGATCAGTCTGTTCCCTCAATGTATTCCACCCGACACGAAATGTGCTAGTGGGAGGTAACTCTAGCGGCAGGTTGCATGTGTTCATGTAGAACTTGGCCAGCAACAAATATTGATGGAAAGCGATTTCATTTTATTGAAAAATGTGTGGAATTCAGTGGTTTGATGAGAGGAAACTTGTCAAGATAATCAAACTGCTCTAGTTTAGTTAAGAGCAAAAGGATTATTTTATAAACTGACTGTTGGACAGACATATTTAAAGAAAGCTTTATGATTGATATTTTAAAGAGAACTGCAAAAAATGTTTTTCTGTGTAGTACATGCTTATAAGTAAGTGTGACTTTTTTTTCTGTTTTCAAGCATATTCAAATATATATACAGCATATGCATTATCATATTTTAAAATTCCTTTAAAGACAAATGGTTTTAAAAATTTTCTCTTTTGAACAGTCATTTTATTGCTGTACCTTTTATTGTTCTATACTGATGCATGTTATGTCTGTTTTACACAATTATTGTGTTTAAATGAGATGGAAAACAAGAATTACACCAAAAGAAAAACTGAAAATTTAGCATGCTAACTGTAGAAAGTAATTTTTTGTTATCTTTATAAAGCTGTATGCATTTTGAATGTTGATGCATTCATTTTTTTGCGCATCCTGTAATTAGTTTAATTTTTGACTGTTAAAAGCATTAGTTAGAAACAGTTAGTAGTTAGTATTAGTAGATATTATTAACATTGTCAGCTCATTATACCAGTTTAAGATTTTCTGTGTGTTCAAAAACAGAATGTGTTCAAAGCCAGAAAGTGTTCAAAAACAGAAAGTGTTCAAAGACAGAAAATGTCGAAGTTCATATTGTATTTATCCTAATAAAAAATCTCAAGAAGTTCTCTCTTTATATAAAGATATTCCAGTAATAGAACACTATTTCATGCTTGTGTAATATCTTTTTTTTTCTCTATTTCTTATAAGGAATATCTTTCACTTAAAATAGGGATTAGTCCTGACAATACTATGACTACTGATGTAGAATGTGATTTGTACATTGTTCATAGATATGAAGAATGATTCCATTGAGAAATGGAGGCATCATTTCTAATGCTTGTTTTCTTATGTCAACATCAACAAAACTCAGTTGAGATGGAATAATGATCAGAGATTGCAGGAAACCATGTTAGGTGTCAGTTTTCCTTGTCTTACTCTCTACATAAAAGTATGAGGAATCTTGGAAAAGTTTGGTCAAGACAAAACATGCACAACTTTGCTCAATTATTGTTAAAATAAGGCAATGAAGAATGCAAATTAAAAAGAGACTTAGGATAGAAAAAACAGTGGTAGAATTATCAGAAGAATGATTCTAGGTCATTGGACCTCTTGCTATGAATTGAATTAAAAAAAAAAATAGTTGTATACAATGTATAGCATATCTATACAAGAATTCAAAAGACTCCTTTTTGATTAGTTTAGTGAGGGAGTCAATCACTGTCATGTTTAAAAAAGATTGTCAACCTCCTTCATGAGGAGATGACCCACTTTCAGCAGAACTGAAAAGCTCTCAAATTGTGTCAGTGTCTGGCACTGTATTACTAGTGTGAAATGGAATCGCAACTGTCGTCACGGGAAGCTGAAGGTGACAATACATAAGCCATGGAATAACCAACAAACTGATGCTGTTAGACACGTACACTAGGATTAAAGCTACAACTTTCAGATAGTAGGGAGCCTCTAGATTGTATAGACTTACTACACTGATACAGTGTACATGTTTGGACTTTCAGATTAATTATGATGAATTTTCGTAGGATAATAATAAATAATTTTAAAGCCTAAATGCATCCTTTAAACATTTTGCATAAGGAATCGGTTTTTTATTAGAATTTGAAATATTCTCATTATTGAAAGTGATATGATTTTGTCATTTTCCCCCAGCGCTATGAATTATGTGGACATAAATTCCAACATTTGTGATGGGACTAATTATCTTATAATTTAGTGATTGGCAATCGATGTATACGTTACACATTCTAAGAAATAAAACTGCATTTCAAGCCTCTGGTTTTCATATGCAACGAAGAATATGTTGGGACCAGTAAGAGATACGTAAACTGTATAGCTGTACCAGTACCAACGTTCGGGGAGTGCTTAGTTGGTCAAAAGTACAGTGTATATAAATTAGTGTCGTATTTGATGGATATCGTAATCAGATTCTTTGTGATTCACATCATCAAGCCATGACATCTTTCAGAAACTTGGTCAGATAAATCAATTGTAGATAGCTGGCAATACGCAAACCAAATTCATTTTTAGCGAACACTCTATCAATCACAATATGATCGTGTTAAGGACCGGGCCTGGGTCTCGAGTTCCCTCCCCTGAGAACAGATTAATGTGTTTTCTTTTTCTTTTCTTAATTAAATTTGGTCATCTTTTCCTCATAATATTCAAATCTTCTATGCAAATATGCCTCCCACAATCGGCCAAAAATATTGAGTCATTAATTTTCTGGTACTCTCTGACTGGCATTCTTTAAGGAAGTTCTTAGGTTTCTTCATAATATTAAGAAAAAAGTACTTATTCTTCTTGGTGTATATACAAAGTACTGTTTTAAACAGTTTTGGACCCATGGACAACACACTTGAACAATAAAGACGGGTGTGTAAAACTTTTTTAAGCATATGGTACGTGTATTCCACAGGCACTTGTTTCTGTACTACATTTTTTAGTCCACCAGTTTAAAATTTAAGGATACTTGTATGTATAGCAGTATGAGGTAATTAGTATTTTTATGCCCCGTTATGTAATTCAAGATTCGGGGGAATATAGTTTTTACCCTGTGTGTCTGTCTGTTTGCCTGTTGTCTGCAAAAACTTTAACATTGTTCATATCTTTTGAGTTGGTTGGACTATGGCTTATACATTTCACAAGTACATTCTTTGTGATAAGACCTGTCTTAGGGTACCATCAAATTGACCTCTTGACCTTCCAGTTTGACCCACCTTTACAAAAGAATACTACACTTTAACCTTTTTCAATCATAACCTTCGAACATTTGGTGCTAGGGCTTTGATACTTCAAATGTGTATTCATTGTGACAAGGCCTTTTATATTTTATAAATTTCACCTTGACCTTAAAGTTTGACCCACTGTAAAATAACTTTAACCTTGGCCATAACTTTTTGAACAGTCAGAACTAGGGCTCTAATATTGCACAGGTGTATTCCTTGTGAAAAAAAAAACTCCATTCATGTGCCTTTATCTTTTGACCTTGACCTTTCGACTTTGACTTACATTTGAGAAACTTCAACCCTCGCAATGAGCTGCCATACAGGGGCATCAGTGTTTCACAAACACATCTTGTTTCAATATGTTTATGAAGTATAATGACCTTATAATCATGTGACCCTAAAAATCGGTACGATCCTTCACTAATGAAACACTTTTGAGAAAGACTTCATAAATCATTGTGTTCAACATGAAACTTTGAATATTTATGAGGTTGGTGATATTTCGGCACTTGTTCATCATATTTTTCCCGTGACTTTAAAACACTGATGACATCGTGTATCTTGACTCAACCTCAATTTTCAGTAGCATGTGTTTTTTTTTCAGTGTTGTTGATTGTATTTAAGCACTATATCCTCTTAATGTAATGACTTACCTCGTGTTTATCATTTATTGACTGGGTTCTCGTTTGTTGGACTCAACAACCTTTGAAACTGTTTGCCATAAGCCTTTAGGCCGAAAGCAAAGTGAGTGTTTGGTTAGAGGGACACATTTGCATTTTGCTCGAGAACACAGTCATTAATTTTTTCAAGTATATCTTTTAATTTTTTTGTCAATTACATGCATGTATCTTGGCTGGCTTTCCTTTTGTAATGTAAACTGATGTTAATTAAAACTCAGTTAATTCCATCACGGTCAAACATCAACAAACGTAAATGAGATTTAGCTGATCCCGCCCATTACGTGATGTAAGCGGTCCAATATCTCGTCGAGAGGCCCACTCCGCGGTCTTAATCAATTTTTATGACCCCTCAATATAGAAACATTGTTTTAAAGCTATAGCATATTTATTTTTTTTTCTTTCATAGCGTCATACAGATAGACATGCGGTAACATGACAACGTCAAGGTTTCAGTGAACCATATTACTATAAGTAATCCATAGCGAGTAGATGTGTACATATTATACTTTCATGTAAACTGGTTGAATCTGATTCGTCGAGAAATATTTGCTTTAAAAAAAACTATTACCAGATGAATAATGAAGCCACGCCCTCAGCGTAGCAACAGTCAACATTGTTTGACGACGGGTGATATTCAAAAAATGTTTACTACGCAGAATTTGTGCTCGCGAGGTTCGCTGTAATATGTATTTGTATAAAACATTCATTTTAATATAATAAAATTGCATTAAGTTAAGTGTAACATTGAACATTTTCACCCCTCGAAAACCATTGTCAACCTAGGCGCAGCCGAGCATTATTTTTCTTCTTTATATGAAAATAATTCCTCTTTATAAAATTATATTGTCCACAAATTTAACCTTGCACTTCATCTTGGGTTTTACACGTATGGCGAAAAGGATACATATCTTTGAGCGAAATATTGAGGAAAATGTAAGGTTACAAGCATATCTTTGTTATTTTGAAAAGAAAGATGATCTAAATACATGTATACGGATTAACTGGATTTTTTTGGCACATAAAGTGTGTTTATTTATTGACTGGTTGAGGCATACAATATATTTCAAGTATAAATTGTTTCAAACATAGGCCTTTTCTATTTGATGGCATTCTACAATGAAGCGCATTGAAGTGGTAAAATTTTCCGTTCGAATGGAACGTTTTGAGCTATATTTAGAGTGTTTATAGTCATCTTTTGACACGCCCATTTCTTTAGAAATTGATAAAATCAAGTTGTTTTTCAAATACCTTAGAGCAGGTTTTCCATAAATATAATAGCCAATCAAATTGAGGCTAAATAAACACCGAGTAAACATGTTCGACCGAAACATGTGTTGTGGTAACTTTAACATGATAAGTTCAAAAATATGTACATTTCGTTGCAATTTGTGTTTAACAGAAGCGGGGTGTGTCTAACTCCCTCTTCTAATTTTTTTGCTCATGTAACTCATGATGCTTGTCGCGAAGAATGGGATGTCCTAAAACTACGAATATATTCGTTTCTAAAAATATGGGCGTGTCATTATGTTATAATTGACCTTCAAAATATGACTCAGAACTTTTCATCCAAACGGAGAATTTTACCACTTCAATGCGCTTCATTGTATCCTTTCCTGTAGCTGGCATTTAAACAGTTAAAGGTCATTTTCCTATGTACAATGCTAACTACTCAGTACATTGTACGTGTAGGAGAACTCTGACGCAGTTGTCTCCGTAGAATAAGTATACAATGACATCCTCTCTATATTTCAATTTAAAAAATCAGAGACATAGTATTATTTCCTTCAAACACGTTGATGAGTCCATTTGATGGTGTACCATGTTTTATGAACAGCTGGCATTAGATGGTCAGTTTGTCTGTGTAGATGAACTCTCTGACGCAATACATGTTTGTAGGCAATTTGTTTAAAATATACGTCATCGGTCTTCCCTTTACATAAGATAATCTTTGGAATATAAACATGGAAATATTCTAAAAATTTTCTGTTTTCTAACAACTGTTAATTAGATTCATTTGGTAGGACTGTTAATATACACAAAAAGCAGGAGTAATTATTGTTAAATAAACTAACCAAACACTCGGTACGAACACGGGTCGATTGTCTGTTGATAAAACTCACCAGCCTAACGAGGAACAACAAAAAAAAGTTTTCCACTGAATCCAAGTGCAAAGCCGTCGTAAGGATATATTAGCTAAATTGCTTTGCGATTTTTTCTTAAATGTTCTGTTTTTTCATTGATTAAATTTG